TTCATTCTGTTGGGCACTGGGGATGTTATCATTTGAGGATCACTTAAAACTAAATTCATGGTGTGAGCCTCCCTAGAAAAGCCAAGCTCTATGATAAGCACAGTTCATGTATAATAACCTTCCTTTAAGATGGCCTGTGCTATTTTTCCCATTTTACAGATGAGAAAACTGAGAAGCTAGGTAACTTGTCCAAAATCATCCAGCTAATTAGTACAGCAAGCTGAGGTCAGTCCTGAGCTTGGATCCATTACATTGCTACCTTACAATGTAATAGAGCTCAAGGGAAGAACCAAAATTAGACTTTTATTTAAACTTTTAAATGGACTCAACAAGCAGTACATATGAAAACAGATTCCTGCTTTGAATGTCTTGGCTTATAAAACTGAAATATCATTAGCTTAAAACTGCAGTTGGCAAAAGCAGGTTGGCAAGAAATCATTGTATCTAATAAAATACCATTTTTGCTAGAATTTTATTTTCCTCGAATGGGTCAGAAGTTCCCAGAAGATTGTCATGCCCGTGGGAAAAACACTTGTTGCCTTGGTAACATACCCATGACAGGCCTGTCAATGCAAAACCAACGGTGGGAGCTGGGTGAACTCATTGAATGAGAAAAGGATACCTTTTCATTACTAAAACAAGCTAGGTAACATTGGTTTTGCAACAGCCCAGGGTTCTTCCTGAAGGTTGGTTTTCCTTGCCTTCCTGCAGGAAGTTTTCCCAAGCCTTCTAGAAATACTGACTTTCTAAATAAGAGTAGAAAGGGATATTTGAGAACCTTTGGTGGCCTGAGTCCTTCAAATTATTGATGCAAGATCGGGGAGAACCTGCTTGGTTCTCACCAAACCTCTAGTTGGTGGCATAGCCATCCCCGAATCTCTGGAGTTAGACTCTACATCCCAATGCCTCCATCCCCATCCCCACCCCCTCACTTCAGCTCACACACTTGTCTCCAAATGTCTGCTTTGGACACTGAGCACAGGTATGGGGTTTTCTCTAGAGGCTCAAAAGTTCCTTTCCTGGGATGTCATCTGTACCTTGTAGATTTTTAGGACTTTATTGTCAATCACCATTTTCATCAAGTTGCACTTGTGCTACTGTCAATTAACTGTCTGAGCACCCTTCTAAAAACCCAAGTTGGGCTGTGCCTGGCTGGTAGTTACTAAATCAAATGTTAAGGAACCCTCTGGGGAGAGAAAACGGATCCGCATAAAATCACTGGAGAAGAATTAAGCACCAAAATAGGTGCAAGCAGCTGTAATAAAAGCAATAGGATTCAGAGAGCTGAGAGATGAATGTAGGCTGGAGGAATCTCATGTGGGAGGTGAAACTCAATTGCTCACGGAAGGGTGAGTGGGACTGAGAGAAACACCAAGGAGGAGAGAGGGCAGGCGAGGGGAGGGCATGGCATGATGGGTTTGAGGAGCAGGAGCAGGCTGGCTGAACTGGAGTGTGGGGTTGGTGTGGAGCAAAATGAGGAGTTAAGGTAGGACAATTAAACCCCAGTGCAAGGAGAGTGGAGGTTTTTCAGAGTGCCTTTTAGCTTCAAGAGACTTCTAAAATGATTGAAACCAAATCTTTTATTTTACATTTACAAAAACTAACCTGATGGAGTGACTGGCCTAAGATCATGCAGCAAGTCTGGAATTTTAATTTGCTGTAGTGGGAAATGGGGAGCTATAGAAGGTTCTCTAGCAGGGGAGTGGCATGATGCAAGTGGTATTTTGGGCAAGATGAGTCCTCCAGCTCCAGACATAAAAGGTCATGAGTCAAAAGAGGCACCACCTTGGTGAACAGAGCCCTGGATCATAGGAAGGGGCCCAGCAGGGATACTGTTGGGCTCTGGGAAAGGTGAGTGCTTTTCTTCATGCCTTCGGCCACCATATCCTCTTGCACTGTTGCATCTCTGAGAATGAGGGGTCCTAAGCCTCCCTTCCTTCACACCACTACTTCCCAGTTGTCTCTGGGAGGAGACCTTCCTGATGGTCTCCCTTCCTGAGACTCCCTTCCTCTTGGGGTTCACTCATTAACACACCTGCCGCCATCCAACTTTGAGGAATCCCTGGTCCTGTTTAAAGTTCTGGCCAATGGTGGCTGAGGCGAAGCTAGAGCTGCTGCTGATTGTGGAAGGCATCAGTATAGGAGGAGTCAGGGCTCTGGAACCTGCCATCGTTAAGGTCTGCTTGTTCATCTTCACTATGGGACTATCTTCTACAGGTTGCTCCTTCCTGGCTCTGGGTTGGCCTCAGCTGTCCCTGTCTTAGTCTGTAGTGTGCTGCTATAATGCCACAGACTGGGCCATTTATAATGAACAGAAATTTATAGTCTCATGGTTCTGGAGGCTGAAAAGTCCAAGATTGAGGGCCTGGCATCTGGTGAGGGCCTTCTTGCTGTGCCATCCCATGGCAGAAGGCAAAAGGGCAAATGAGGGAAAGAGAGAGAGACAAAAGGGGCCAAACTCATCCTTTTATAACAAATCTACTCCCACAATAATGACATTAATCCATCTGTGAGGGCAGAACCTAGTCACATGTTATAGGTCACACCTCCTACCACCGCTACATTGGGGATCAAGTTTCCAACATGTGAACTTTGGAGTACACATCCAACCACAGCAATCCCATGAGGAAGTTGAAGAAAATGTGATCTAAAAGTAAGGCATCCCCTTGTGTGAGGCCAAGGGCAAAACTACAAGTAAACTTTGAATATGTTATTTCCTGTTGGGACTGCTTCCCTCTCTTGGGGCACAGGGTGTATAATATTGGATATCTGTGGGCATCAGGGGATGGAGACAGGAGGGTGCACTGGTCTTTGCCTGGAATGAGGTCTGTGATTGGTGGTGAGGTCTTTCTGGGACCATCAGCACAGGACAGAGTATTTAATTGTGATTTGAGACTTTTGAAGCCATCTCGAATGTTTTTGTAATCAGACTAGAGGTTGTGTCTACCCAAAGGTTGTGACATTGTTGATCCTAAATCATTCTTTGGCCAGTATTCTGATGATAAATCTAGAATGACTAATGGTAATAAAGACAGCTGGAAATACTGATCTACAGACAGGGCAAAACAATAGATTTCTTCTGGAAATTCAGGATAGAAGACAACACATGTAATAAGTCTTTCTATACTTTCTAAAAGACTTTGGTCTCAGGGAAAGCGTACTTGACTAGATTAAGGAGAATCCAGTTCTACACATGACTCTGTTAGTACCTTGCTGAATAGCCTTTGGCAGGTTTTCTAGCCTCTCTGGATCTAGTAAACAAGATGATCTTGAAGGTCTGCTCACCTCATCTACTCTAGAATTCTGAGACATATATTCAGAGGTCAACCCAGCTACCTCAGAAGGGTTCTCTGTTCCTCATTCTCACCTTCCACTGGTGGCAGCATGTGACTAGCCAAGCACCACAGTGACAGGATGCTGTGCTAATATCCTGTACGCCTTAGAGCACCTGGAATTTTAATGGAGCAGCCAGCGAGGCATGACTCATGGTTTTCTGACTCAGCATCCACAGCTAGTCACATGCAGCACCTGCTCACAGGTCCATGCAGCATCCTACAGTCCCTGTAGGTCACATAGGGTGATAGCTTACAGCTACCCTGTGCAGTGCAGCACATAGTCACCCACAGGATCTGCTTATCATTCAAAACCATGCAGGGGATGACACTGGCTGACTTGGGCCCTCCCCTTCCAAGCTCACCAGCACAGCTCAGTGCTTAGTGGAAAGCAGTGTTGTCCACACCCTTGCTAGTATGGTCTGCATGCACTTATGGCCCTCTGAGCCTGTAAAAATGCCAAAAAGGTCATAAACCCTGCCCCTAAGATCACAGTGAGAGCATTACAACTTTTCAAAGAGCCCAGGATTTTAATGTGCACTGAAGAGTGACCTCAGTGCCACATAAGTTGGCCTTGAAAGTCTTCCCTGATGCCTAGGAGATGCTTCTTCCTTTCATTCAGGAAGGCAAGTCACCTCTCACTTGTGTATGGTCCTCTCTCACTTATACAACCCTTTCTAGTTCTTTGATTCTCATGACAACCCCATGAAGAAGACAGGGAAGCTAGTCCTCTTCACATTTTATAGATGAGGAAGTCAGTGTTCAGATAGATTCGATGTTTAATCAAGGTCGTGAAATGGCTGTATTCCCTCAAGGAAGGGACAGGGGCTGGAAAATCGCACTCCAGACACATCATAAGTATACAAACATCAAGGAAATCTGTAAATTAAGAGAGCAGGCTCTGCTTTAATTTTGCTTTTGAAATCACCCCACCCATATGTGGTCAGCTGTTGGACTAACACAAGTTGGGTTTCCTTGTAGAGTCAGGCTGTTAACCTTGGAAGCACGTGAACATTACTGGAGGGGCTTTAAAAAACTCTCATGCCCAGCATACCCATGCCCCACCAAGCCAGTCAAATCTGAGTCTCTGCATTTGGGTGCTAGGCAGCAGGTAATGGGCTGAGAGCCACTGCTTTAGAAGGTGCCCCGCTAAGGGAGAAGCACATGTGGTTTTACCTTGCTAAGACCTGATGTTTCCATGGCGCTTTGTTGATTCCGGACCTCAGTGGTCACACCTCTGTCCAACTTGGATGACTGATCTCAGCCAAACCTGTTTCTCAGAGCATGCACAAGTGTTTTTCTCTTGCTTTCCCATCAGGATGGAAAAGTACTTGTTTTTTTCCCCTGACTGCCCTGACTCAGGTGGGAATTTTTCAAAGAGCTCAAAGCCCTTCATATATCCATGAGCTTGATGTTAAAACAACCTTTCAAAAAGGGAAAAGTTCCCTTGGGATTCCATGATTGGGGTTTGATGATGCCACAGAGATTCAATAATTTCTTCCACAGTGCCTTGGGGTACTGTGGGAACACGCACTGTAGCTGGTGAAAGCAGAGAACTAGAGTGAGGGCTCATGCCGCTCCAAGAGTTAATGGGGCAGAACCAAGAGGCACCAGGTTTCCCTTTGGATCTTCAGGTCTGGATGCTTAACATTTAGATCCCAGGAACAGCTTTATTGTGACACCCCAGAGCAGCTGTCATGGATGACTCACATCATCAAGGTAAAAACATGAACTCCTGAGCATTTAGTTATGTGAAGAAATTCCAGAATATTGAGGCTGAAAGGATCTAAAAGATGGTGTATGCCAACCACCTCTCAGATGCTGAAATTATAAGTATAACTAGCAATTACTGAGTTCTTTCCGTGAGTCAGACACTGTGCTGGATGTTTACATGCATTTAATCCTCACGCAACTCCATGGGGCAGGCATTATCAACCTCACCTTACAGGTGAGGAAAGTAAGGCTTGGAGAAGTTGATCAGACCAAGGATTTCCAAGCTCTTAACCTCTGCCTGGTGTATGTGCCACATGTTCACGATCCCCACTTTCTACTTGGACCAGTGCCCTGGCAGCCCATTCTTGTTTGGGTAGCTCCAGCTATTCCACCAAGGGGCAACTTGCTTCCACTGGTCTAGTCCTGGTTTGAGGGCCACATGGAACAAGGCCAGCCCACTTGGCATCCGACCCATCAGATCCTGAAGGAAGTTCTCATACACCCTCCTCAGCTTCTGTTTCAATATAATATCTATGTTTCAATGCACCTGTTTTGTGTTCTTTACTGCTAATTTTTTTCTTTTTTCTTTTCCTTTTTTTTTCTTTTATTTTGAGATGGAGTCTCACTTTGTCACCCAGGCTGGAGTGCAGTGATGTGATCATGGCTCACTGAAACCTCAAACTCCTGGGCTCAAGTGATCCTCCTGAGTAGCTGGGACTACAGACATGCACCACCACACTCAGATAATTTTGTGTGTGTCTGTGTGTTTGTGTGTGTGTGTTTTGTAGAGACAGGGTTTCACCATGTTGCTTAGGCTGGTCTCGAATTCCTGGGCTGAAGTAATCCTTCCACCTCGATCTCCCAAGGCATTGAGATTACAAGCATGAGCCATTGTGCCTGGCCTTCCCCTGATATCTTGCCTCCTTTAGGATTAAGTATTTTTATTGTTTAGGTTTCACTACCCCATCCTGCCCAACACTAGCTTGTGGATTATACAATTTTCATCATTATTTTGGTGTTTAAAGTGATAACATGCACCCTTGACTTATTAAAGTCTAATATAAATCAGTACTTTTACCACTTCCCAGATAACGGGAAAATCTTATAACAGTTTAACTCCATTTATTCCATCCAAATCTGCCCACAAAGCAATTTGTTTCATGTCTTTTAAACTCTAAAATATATTAAATTATTATTTATATTAGGGTTGGCAAACTTTTTCTGAGAAGGGCAAGGTTGTAAATATTTGAGATTTTGTGAGTCACATATATTTTATATCATATTCTTTGTGTTTTTTCTAATAACCCTTTAAAAATTTAAGAATGATTCTTATCTACAGGGTCATATAAAAATAGGCTGTGGGCAGATTTGACTATGGGCCATAGTTTGCTGGTCTACAGTTTGTACAGTAAATATTATTTTAGGTTTACCTACATATTTATTCTTCTGTACTTCATTCCTTTTTACATCACCAATGTCCCAACTGGGATCATTTTCCTTTTGGAATTTTGCCTGTCATTCTACTGCCTTTTGGCTTCCATTGTTTCTGATGAGAAGTCAGTCTGATCTTAAGATTGGTCTCCTGTACTTGAAGAATTTTACTCCAGCTGCTTTCAACATTTTTTCTTTGGTTTTAGAACTACACCTAGATACATAGACTATTATAGTTGATGTGTGTAAGTAAGAGTCTCTGTGCTTATCCTACTTAACGTTCTTTCAGCTTGTTTAATCTGTGGTTTAATATTTTTCATCAAATGTGGGAGGTTTGGGAAATTTTCAGCCATTTTATCTTTTTTTTTTTTTTTTTTGAGATGGAATTTCACTCTGTTGCTCAGGCTGGAGTGCAATGGTGTGATCTTGGCTCACTGCAATCTCTGCCTCCTCGGTTCAAGTAATTCTCCTGCTTCAGTCTCCCAAGTAACTGACATTACAGGCACCTACCATCGTGCCTGGCTAACTTTTTAAAAAAAATTTTTTTAGTGGAGATGAGGTTTCACCATGTTGGCCAGGCTGGTGTCGAACTCCTTACCTCAGGTGATCCATCCACCTCAGCCTAGCCATTTTATCTTTAAATCGTTTCCTGCCTTCCCCCGCCCCATCCCATCTCTGTCTTTCTTTTTCTTCTGGGGCTCATATTACATGTATGTTTGTATGTTTGACGCTGTCCACAGATCTGAGGTTCTGTTTTTCTTCAATCTTTTTTCCTCTGTATTTTTTAGAAATATACTTACTATCTTTAAGTTTACTGATCTTTTATTCTGTCTTCTCAAGCCTGCTGCTGAACCCACCTCGTGAATCTTTCTTTTCAGTTAGTGTACTTCTCAACTCCAGAATTTCCATTTTATATCACTTCTATTTGTTGTCATTGTCTTTGTGGCTTTATTTAATTCTTCAAATACATATAATAGCTGCTTTGAAGACTTTGCCTGTGAAATCTAACATCTGTGTCAACTCAGTTTCCATTGATTGCTTTTTTTCTTCTTCTGGGACTGTTGTTTCAATATCAAGGCATGCCTAGTAACTTTTGTTTGAAGACTAGACATGTTTGATCAAACATAGCGATTCTGGATTCTGTTTTATTTTTCTGAAGGTCATTAGTTTGTTTTTTAATAACTTGCCTGGACTTAAACTGTGAAATCTGTCTCTCTCATTGTGTGCAGCTAACCACTGATGTCTTTGCTCAGTTTTTTTTTTCTTTCTTTCTTTTTTTCTTTCTCTCTCTCTCTCTCCTATTTTTTTGTTTTGTTTCGTTTTGTTTTGTTTTGTTTTTTGGCCTGGCATCCTAGGAGTCCCTGAGTCTGCATGGTTTAGTGATCAGTCAATGATTTGGACAGAGGTTATGTTCAAACACCTTGAGACCATAAGGTTCTGTTGCTTGCTGTGTGTGTAGGTTAGAGAATGAGCACAAAGTTAGAGCCAATTCTTAAGTCTCTCTTGGTTTTAGATTTACATGTGGTTCTTTCAGTCTTTCTGGCACATACATCAATTTCCAGTTACTCAGAGATATGTGAGGAGCATATCTCAGTACTTCTTATTTCCTAGATTGCCCCATTGTCCAAATTTCTGATTTGACCACCTCTTGTTGTAACTGGGTACGAAACATTGAGCTGGAAAGATTGTGGATTTCCTTCATTTATTTCCATATTAGTCCACTGCTTTTCACTAATCTGTTGTCTGTTGTTTTTAAATTTTCTCTTGGCTTTGGTTTATTTAATGTTGTCTCCTGGAAATTTTTTAATGCAAAGCCAGGCATTGTATATAAAAAATTAGATAATTTTCATGCTCTGGCTGGTAGTATTTTCATCCATAAAGGTTTTCCTCTTGCTTTTGGCAGGCAGTTAGGGAGGAACAGATCACTTTTATCTAATCAGGAGTCAAACTGATTCAAGTCTGGTCTTTAGACTTTTTACAGATCAGCCCATTTCTAGTTTATCCCTACTCCAAAGGTCTGTTTTAGGTTCCACTTGAAAGCCTGCAATATTCATCAGGGTCCCTCCTCCTCGATGTGTGCTGAACTCAGTGTTTTCCCCCAGTTCCATTAAACTGCCTGAAGCTCTGCGCAGTGTCTTAGCCTCTCGGCTGCTGATTTCTGTTACTCATGATTTGACAAATGCTTCAAGGATAAAACTGGTATCAAATGCTGAGCCCACTCTCTGTACTTACTTTTTCTTTGGGGTCCTGACTTCTCAAATTCTTGCTGCTTTTATAATTTTCAACAGACACACATAAGCACGCGCCTGCACACACACACACACACACACACACACACACAAACACCACATAGAGTGTGGGAGTGCATAACAGAATGCGGGAGTGCAGCAGAAAAAAATAAAAGACCTAGAAGATTCCATAACAGTTTCAGGAAAAAAATGTGGGGATACACCTGTTGTCTTCAGAAACATCCTCTTTTGAGCCTCATTAAAACCTTTGAATTCCGGAGTGAGCAGTAAACTCTGGACCCAGACCCAACCCTCTAAACAACATTTAAAACTTTTGCTGCTTTAAAATTATACTAATAATGCTGGATTGTTTTGATAATCAAATGAGAGCATCTTTCATCATAATTAACATATTTCGACATATACTTTATACAGGCACTGGGTTAGATCTTCTGCTTATTTCATTTTTAAAAACTTTATAATAGAGTGCTGAGTATATTAGCTGTCATAAAATTTGTTTTAGAATACTACTATTTAAAGAAGGGGTCCAAAAGCTTTTGAGGAGTGATTTTCTTTTAATTAAAAAATTGTTGTTCCAGCACCATTTGTTGAAAAGACTGTCTCCTCTCTGTAATATTGCCTTTGCTCCTTAGTCAAAGCCCTGTTGACTCTATTTATGTGGGTTTATTTCTGGGCTCTGTATTCTGTCTTGTTGATCTAGTTGTTTATTCTTTTGCCAGTCACACTGTCTTGATCACAGTAGCTGTATCGTCAATCCTGGAGTCAGATAGTATCAGTCTTCCAACTTTGTTCTTCAATATCGTGTTGGCTCTTCTAGGTCATTTGCCTCTTCATATAAATTTTAGAATCAGTTTCTTGATATCCACAAAGGTTGCTACATTTTTTAATGGTTCCAAAAAATAAAAAGAGTATTTCGTGACACATGAAAATTATATGGAATTCAAACTTCAGTCACCATAAATAAATTTAATTTGTTTACATGTTGTTCGTGGCTGCTTTCACACTACAGCAGCAGACTTGAGTAGTTTCAGTAGAGACCATATGGTGAGTAAAATCTAAAATATTGACTGACTGGCCCTATACAGAAAAAGTCTGCTGGCCCTGGTCTAGACCCTGGGCATGTGGCTTACACTTAGCTTTTTGGTTACAAGCGTGGCTCATGGAGTCAGATGAGCCAGACTGCCTGTTTTCAAACCCCACCATCACCATTTGCTAGCAATGTCATATTTTTTAATTTTTATATATATATATATGTATTTTTTTTTAGAGACGGATTCTCATTATGTTGCCCAGGCTGGTCTCAAATTCCTGAGATCAAGTAATCATTCCATCTCCGCTTCCCAAAGTGCTGGGATTACAGGCATGAGCCACCATCTCTTGCCACCTTTAAAAGGCCATTTAACCTTTTGGGGCCTCAGTTTTCTGTCTGTAAACTGGAGATGATGGCATTTATCTCATAAAGTTGTCATGAGGATTAAACGAATTAGTTCACATAAGTGTTTAGAACAGTGCCTGGCACATAGAAACTGTATTTGTGTTGGCTACCATTTACATTTTTATCCTGGCTTAGAAAGAAAATTACCAAAATAGTCTCAAATCTCTGCCCTGCTAACTCCTCCATCCCACTCCCCCTGGAGTGATGATTACCTTAAAATCATCTTTTCAGAGACTGGTCACAGCTTCCTGTTGCTCATGGACTAGCCTGGCATTTGTGGCTCCCCAGCCCAGCTACCATCTGTCTGTGCAGCCTCATCCCCCCTGCCCACCACTTCCCTGGCCTCCAGTTACTCCTATGCCAGCCTTTTCCAGCATTTTGTGCTTGTCCATACCTCTATGCCTTCCCGTCATGTGGCCCTTTCTGCCCAGAAAGCTTGCTTCTGGGAATTTCAAAGGAATCGCTGAGATCTGGAGGCAGATTCCTGTCATCATTCCTTGTGCAAGCTCTAACGTGGAAATCGGTGCCTGATCTCACAGGAAGCATAGAATGGAAATATACTGTTGCTCCTCATGAAACTCTAGATAAATTATTTTCAGGGTCAAAAAAGTAAAGCTGCAGAAGAAGGCTGTGGTGGAAAAGAAATCAAGCCCTCTTGCCCAAGTCAGAATTCCTTTTGGCATTGCTAATGTTGTTTGGGGGTTTTTGTATCGCATGTCCTTATAAGGAGTATGTACCCTGGGCAGGCATTGGGTGGGGAGAAGTCAGAGGAAGTAAGGTACACTGACCTCTGATTAAATCTCATTATCATTGATGTATCATGTAGCTATTGAAATAAGCATCACAATTATATAACAACATTAAAAATGCTCATGATACGTCAAAGGAAGTTTGCAGGATACAAATTTGCATGCACACAAATTATAACTGAATACAACATGTGCCTGATTATGGTCATGAAAAAAATGAACAAACAAAATCACTTTTGATTGTAAGAGTAGTAGCATTGTGGGTGTTTTCTTCCCCTTTTTAAATTTAGGGTGCTGTTCATTTAAAACTACTATAGTTTGTGTAGTTAAAAAAACATGGAAAAACTTATCTACGTGTACACTTAAAATGAATTTAATTTATTGTAAGTCAATTATACTTTTAAAAAGTAAAAAATAGTAAATGTTTTTAAAGACTGGCCAAAAGTAAGCTGGGAGAAGGTCAGTATCTTTGCCATCTCCCTACCTGCCTTTTCTTCCCCTCATTCCTCACGTTCAGCAAGACCCCTCAATACAGCCCCTATCCAGGTACTTAGTACAGTCATGGCTGCTAGGAGTCCTGTGATTAGCTCTTCTCCTAAGATCACATTACCCTTCAAACTCTTTTATAACATGCTTTGCCTTCCCTGCTTTGTCTTGAATCTGCAACAACAATAACTATTTGTCTGACATTACTTTCTTTGCGGGTTCTACTCTTTGCTAAGGAGCCCAAAAAGCAATCTGTGATAATGTGCTTGGGCATGGTGTAATGTTATTGCCGACCCCTCCCAGGTAACACTTTTGCTTTTTAACCTGGGGATTCTGCCCTAAATGGTTGTGTTAATGGAAGCACGGTGTCCCACCCAATGGAGGGGATAGCTGGACAAATAGAATCTGGGCTTCCCTAACACAAGGGCCATTACTGAGCTGGGCACATAGATATGGCTGGGAGGAAAGGCATGAAAGCTACAAATTTGGGTGGGAGTTAATTCCAGCTAAATAACTTGAACTATTTCTACCTTCTTTCAGGGACCCCCCAGGTCCATACCTCTCTTGGAAGGAATACACTGGAAGGGCAGCTATGGCCAGAGGTAAGGGCTTTGCCTGGTGGGAGGTACGTGTATGTGGAGGGGAGAGGGGGGATTTTCCTTATAGTGGGTAAACCCAAGTTTTGGTGCAAGTTGGCAGGCCCCTTCCTGAGGCCTTGAGGGAATGGGCTGGATGAACCGCTTCCCCCATGGACAGCCGGGGTGTCCAGCAGAGTGTGTGTGTCCTGGAATTTGGAGCTTATCATCCCTGCAGACTGAATGGGCGGTTCCCAGAAGTGTCCAGAAGGAGTTATAAATGGGCTTGTTATCTCCGTGAACCTTGAAGCAGATGTTGGGAGTTATCTGAAGGAATCTGGGTGAGGTCTTCCCAGAACATCCATAAGATAAGGGCTGAGAGTAAATGCTGTGGTTTCTTACTGTAATCAGTACTTCAAGAGAAACTGTGTCTTCTTGTGATGTCAGATGTCCTCAGTCACCTCATTTACTGCATGTTTTCCCTGTTGGAGTATTTCCCCCCTTCCACTCTCAATTTTTTGGGGAAAAGACACAATCTCCCTTCCCAGAGCCTTCCATGGTATTCACAAAAGCAGAAGCTGCCCCAGACTCAGTACCAGCAGCTGAAGAGGTCCAGGTGGTCTTGAGGACCTGAGCCCTGGTCACCGAGTCCTTCCTCCAGGCTCAGGACACTGGTAGGGACGTGAGAGTCTCTCAGTTTCAAATGTACCCAGTTTTTGGCAACAAATAAACATAATGCCTCATATACTTACTTTTGTATAAGTTATCAAATTAAAAGATGAAAAGTAGATCAATGTAGCGTGGAATATAAAATATAGCATGGGATTGATGTTTTTTCTTGTTTTAGTCAAGGTATCCTGAGTCTTTTCTTAATTACTTCTTTTCACTGGTAAAATATACACAAAAGTTATCATTTTAACCATGTTTGAGCGCATTCAGTAGCATTAAGTACTTTACATTACTGTGCCACCATCACCACCATCCGTTTCTAGAATGTTCTTTTTTTTTTTTTTTTTTTTTGAGACAGAGACTTGCTCTGTTTGTTGCCCAGGCTAGAGGGCAGTGGCATGATCTCAGCTCATGGCAACCTTCGCCTCCCGGGTTCAAGCAATTCTTGTGCCTCAGCCTTCCAAGTACCTGGGATTATAGGCACACACCACCACTAATTTTTGTATTTTGTATTTTTAGTAGAGACAAGATTTCACCATGTTAGCCAGGCTGGTCTCAAACTCCTGATCTCAAGTGATCCTCCTGCCTCAGCCTCTGTGCCCAGCCCCATTTCCAGAACTTTCTCATTCTTCTTCATCATCTTTCTTCCCTCTCTACTCCAGTGTTCTGAGACATTCTTGCCACCTGTTAAAGTCATTGTCAATAGAGTTATGTCCCCTTTTACCAGATGAACTGGGTATAGGGTTAGGAGAAAATGACTATGGGCAATTGTTGTTTCTAGATTTTGAGCCCAGATAGAATGAGCACATGATCGTTTCTATACCAAGTTTTCAGGATCTGCAATATTTCTATACAAGGCAGTTGATGTTTCTGATGTTTGTTTTCAGTTGCAGACCCTGAAGAATTCTCCATTCCCATGCAACCCAAATAAATTAGGAGTGAATATGCCTTCTGAATCAGGTATGTGACCCTTGGCCATAAGCAGGACAAGCCTGGCATCTTCTCTGTGAAGTGGCCAGCAGAGGCTCTAACCCTATTCCTCTTGTACCTGTTGGCCCTTCAAGTCCCCCTCTTCCTTATCCTCTATCCCTGTGTGACAGATGAGTTCCCAGTCATCTGTCATAATTCCACGGTGGCTTGCTTGGATGAGGGTAATCTCCAGCATCTTGCCTTCCTGTGGGTGGATGGTGTTGTGGGAACTCTGAGTTACAGCTTGGCCACTCATGTGGCTTCTCTGTTCTTGTAATGTAGCCCAGTGGCAGCTCTGGACCTTTTTCCCCCGCAATGGGCTGGTTTGTCTAATGACCCGGATGCTATGAATTCTCTTGAGTGGGCCTTCTTCCCTGGCTTTATCACATTGAGAGGCTGCATTACAGACCATATTTAATAGATTTATGTTTGTACTATTCTGCCTTTACTGGGGTTTCCATTTAAGCATGCTATTCTTACTGTTATATAAGGACTTCAGGTTGAAAAAGAAATTGATGCACTTTTAAGGAAATGTCATCTTTAGGTGGCTTACATGTAAATGATCGATAACATGACCAGGGATTATGATCAGTGATTTCTGATCAGGGAGACTTAATTGCTAAAAATGCCAGTGACTCAAGTGGGTCCAGGAGACTTCCTTGTATGGTATTTGCATACAGCTTGCATCTGGTGTGGATATGTGTTCATAGGCTTTGAATGCTATTCTCTGGTAATCTTCAAGCTAAAGTGATCCTTTTGGTAACCAGGTGGTTTTAATCTTAATGTCTTGTCCTCTCATTCATGGTGACCCAGAAATGCAGGGCTATGGCACAGAAGGAAGTGAGAGATAGAATGGGGTCCAGGTGAGGGGAAAATGAGGGCCATGAGTGACTTTCCATGGGTCACCTGTTTGGACAGCTCAAGTCCAGTTAACAGGGTGGCTCCCAGAAAGGAGCAAGTGTCTTTCTGGCAGGATTCCTAGGGTTCCCAGGCACTGCGTGGTCTTTGGCATTCCACTTCCATGGCCAACAGACTGGACCTCCGCAGCTGTCCAGGGCTGGGGGATGTGAGTCTCCTCTCCCATATGGTATCCTTGGCCGACATCATGGGGAATGTAGATCTAACCTTCCTATATGGGTTCTTGTCTCCACAGTTCACTCTCTGAAGCCTTCTGATATTAAATTTCTGGCAGCCATTGGCAATCTGGAGATTGTGAGTATTTGAAGTAGCTTGGGGCAGGAGACAGAGTTTGGTACTGATGATCCTCTGAATGGGCTCCTGGTAACTGGGCAGAACAGCATACGGAATGAAACTGAGACATTATGCTAAGTGAAGCCAGTGACAAAAAAACAAATATCTGTATGATTTCACTCATATAAACATAAGTATATTTCATTTTTTTTTTTTTTTAGATGGAGTTTTGCTCTTGTTGCCCAGGCTGGAGTGCAATGGTGTGATCTCAGCTCACTGCAACCTCTGCCTCCTGGATTTAAGTAATTATCCTGGCTCAGCCTCCCAAGTAGCTGGGATTACAGGTGCCCACCACCATGCCTGGCTAATTTTTTTGTATTTTTAGTTAAAATGGGGTTTTCACCATGTTGACCAGGCTGGTCCAAACTCCTGACCTCAAGTGATTG